GGAATGAGGATGTTGAGAAGAGCTGCGAGCCCACGAGGGAGCTGGCAGGGATTAAGGTGGTGGTCGTCTCCAACTGTCGAGCTGCCCCAAACCCTCTGTGAAGAACAGATGTGCTCCTGCGTGGCTGCAAAGGCAGATGGGAACAGACGAGCTGTTGGCAGCAGTGGCTGCAGTGGGATCCTGCTGCGATGCTCTAAGGTCATCCTGAAATAATCCATATGGTAACGTACCTCCATCTCACAGTACATCTTTTGCCCAGTGGGATCCTCACGGTGGAATCAACCTGCGTCGCACCGCAGCACCGTTACCAGGTCACTTCTCATGGCTTCTTTACACTCCACATACCACAAGGCCGTCTGCAGGATACAAAGTCTTAGCATGTGCTGGACTCCACCTTATAGACGCTGTTCTAGACATCTGGGCAACATCTGGAAGCAATCTGCAGCTTGGCCATCCCAGACCACATCTGGCCACCATCCCACAGAGATGGGAGCCACTCTGATCTTGGCCACGCATCCAGCCGATGCCATCCCCGGTGTTCCCTGGGGCGCAGAGCTCCTTGCATCAGTACTTGATGCTATCTCTGAAGAGCCACCTCCATTGCAAGCCAAAGCCTCTGCTTTTGGGCCATGCTCCATGGGAGGAAAGGGAGCAGGTGGAGGAGAAAGGGGGGAGATGGAGCTGAGACCTCGTATTGCTACCCAGGGCCTCCAGACTGCTGACTCCAGGGGATGTCCCATCTCATTGCTTTGCAAGCAGGGATGTCCTCACACAAACCTGGTGAGAGCCCCTCTGCTCCCAGGCGAGCGAATAAAGCAGGTGGCTGTTGTCCTAAGCAGGACGCAGGAAACAGATACCCAGAGGAAGGGGGAAAAAAAGTCCTTTTTTTCCATTATTTTTCATCTCCAAGTCCCAGCAGCCACCAGGTGTCAGTGCGATCAAACGTTTGGCAGATGGGACTCCAGACAAGCCCTAATAGGTGGAAAACAGCTTTCTAGGAACTGCTTTGTGTCTCCTGTCTCTGCTCTGTCGCCTGGCACGCTGCTCTGAAAAGTCCAGCTTTGACAGTTTGTTAAAAAGGAGTTTAACTACATTAAGGTGATAGAAAAGCTTCCCATTACAAATGATAAGACAAAGTTTCTCATCCTCTTTAAATCCTCCCTGTGCAGAGCTGGAAACCCAAGCATTGGACAAGAGAAGGAAAGAGGCAATCAACGGCCTCTCCCCCAGCCCGCAGGTCCCTGGCCATGACCCATCTCTGCCAGGCTGGTGGGAGAGGGACAACAGTGCAATCGACTTAACAAGATCAGCCTAGTGCAAAAAATGATACAGAGAAAAAACGAACAGCAAAAGGTATCAAAAGTATCACCAGACTACAATGAAACGCTATTAACCAGTAGATTTCTGGAGCTAAACTGAGATCATACAGCGAGGTGCACCCTGGCAGAGACAGCAGAAAAGTGCTCTCTGCCTCAGGACAGACACCCTTAGAAACTCTCAATGTCACTGGATGCTCCAGACAGACAAGAGAGCTTTGCAGTCTCTGGAAAACCTTCAGGCCCTGAGGAGCCAGAAGCGCAAATCAAGAGAACTCGCCAGTCCCCTTGCTTGCTTTAAACTTTGAAGACTTCACAGGAAATCAGCAGGTGCTGAGCCCAGCCAGAAGCATTGCTTTATTAGCACCTCGTTTCTCTGAATCAGTAAAGTGGAGAGAAAACAGGGCAGCAAAGCAGCTCCTAGCAATGAAGTGCGACAAGGAAGTGCTTTGTGGGCGAATGGATCCACATCTGATTGGTGGTGTTATCTTTTTAACAGCCACTGGGCGTTAAAAACCATACTTAATGAGGATTATTGGACTCAGAAACATTTGTACTTGTGAAACTGCCTACAGGCCGCTGCCACGCCAGGCCCCATTATGCTAAGTGCTATACAAACTCAAATTGTAACTCTATGCTTTAATTTACTCGTGGTATCGTAACAAAAACTTGCATTTAATCCTGGGAGTCCCAAAGTGCCATCAACGCAGCCTCGTGCAGTGAACCCACCAACCTCAGCAGGAGCCATCAGCGAGGGGCGGTCAGAGCAGGGCCTGTCCCCCAGTGCCAACTGCTGGGGCAGGAGAGGGACCTCTCTGAGCATCTCTGCAAGACACAGATGGAGCTGATGGTCACCATCTCCTGCCTAACACAGGGGAAGGTGCGGAGGCAGGAGAAAAACACTGAAAACTGGAATCTGGAGAGGAAACCAAAGGCTATTCTTGAATCCCAAAGAGTCTGATATCAATGTGGTCCTGCATCGAGGTGGTCTGCGATTCAGTTTGTATGCAAAGCGCTATGCAAAATGAAACAACAGACTCGTGTACCTTGACTTTAGGACATCAGGGATGAACATGCTAAAGATATCTACACATACGGGGAGAGATTTACGGGCTTGGCATTAGACTGCCTATCCGGGGTCTTTCTGTACAAAGGTTCCCTAAAAACCAAACGCGAAGCTGCATCTTGCAGTGAAAGCAAGCACGCAGATCACCCTAACGTAACAGAGAGGAATGAATGCTGCTGCCTCTGACCAAAGGATGTCCCTCAGTCCCAACATGACAGAAGAAAACAAATGTTCTGGGACTTCAGGCTTGACAATAGTTCCGAGTCTGGGTTTAGGCAGGGCTCAGAGCAATTACCCATACTCAGTGCCTTTTACAACACGTCTGCAGGGAGCTGGAGCCTCAAAGTTGCCCGAGGCTACGCCTGAGAAACCTCCATTGGGGAGCTCTTAGATCTCATCTGAACTGGCTTTTACACAAGCTTAAATGCAGTGATTTTAAAGATGTTACCCCAATTCACATCTAGGGACATTAAACACTTCTCCTCCCTCAGGGCAGGATGCTAAAAAGGAAGCAAAAGTACCAGGCAATTATCTGTTCCCAAGTCTGTACTTTTCTCCCCGTTTAAAAAAGTCTCATAGAGTATTCACATTTACCTCAAAAAGACCATCTGAAAACAAACTACCCTGGAAAATGGAGCAGGAGTGGAGAAGGCCTGTCAGTCTAAAACCGAGGCTCAGACAAGGGATGCTTTGCTGGTGATTTCACAGGCTGCAAATGTCCTTTTTGAGCAACTCTCCAACCTAAAGCCAATTTCCAGCTAAGACGCTGCACCAGGGCTATCAGTCAAGCAAGGGTAAAGTGCTCAGAATCTGCAAACTCAGCTTGGAGCTGCAGAGCTGAAAAGGGGAGCGGGGCTGTTCGTGGTGCGAGCGAAAGGAGATGACAGCAGGATGTTTTCACCGCAGCTCATTAGCAGCTGAATGCTAGAGCACTGAAAAAAGGAAAATAATCTCTTTTCACACATGGAAACTGCCCAGGACATTGACTGAGTCTTGGCTCCCCTCCACCCAGAACACAGAGGTTTTACTGCACCTGCAGGGACTGATCTCAGGGTCAGGATCTGGCGGCTGTAGCTCCAGCTGGACTCCCAAAGTGAATTTACTCCCCAACGCTGGGCTCTCGGTGGCAGCCTCACCACCTCGCTTCTCAAGCCCAGCCACTACCAGAGAGCTACAGTAAGTGCATTTAAAGGTGATGAAAGCATTGGTGCTACTGATAGGAACACACACACAGAGACCTACACACCCACCCCTCCCGCTTCCCTCTGTTCAGTGATCCTCTTGGCTCCAAGCCTCACATGCGGGCTCAGGAACTGGGAAAATGTGCCCCAAGACTTGACTTGTCCCAAGCCTTTATGAAGTTCCTGAGAAGCCACCTGATGCCGTGGTCCATTGGTCAAGACAGGAGAGAGACATTTCAGGGGACGGTTCCCTCCCTTCTTTCTCTAAAGATGTGTGTCTTCCTCAAACACATCCACATCCTCGCTCGCCTGCTTATTGATCAGGACATCCCAGCTGTCAGGGCCGTTGATGGGGTTTCCGCCGTTCACGCTTGGCTTTTTCTCCTGCATTTCGGACTGGCTGTCACTGGCCACGTCCAAGGTGGGGTTGTCGTGGCAGCCGTTCTCCACAAAGCGCAGCTCCTCACCATGCGACTGCAGAGGACAAGGGGAACACAAAGGGAGAAAGAAGAGGACAGGTCTCAGTGCTGCTGAGAAGCGCAATCAAACTGGGCTAGAAGGACCAAGGACTTTGCAGGGTCAGTGGGAAAAGGTAGATTTACTCCTAGCCCAGCCCCCAGTGGAAATGAGCTGTCCTGAGCACAGCAAGAGACAGGTTTGCACCTCTCTTACACCTGAACGCGCTCTCTTGCTGCTCCGGCAGTGTATCCAGCTATGTCCAGTAAGTGGACAGAGGAAAACAATCTCCCTCTTAACCTTCCCAACCCCTCCATCCCAAGAGCTAAGAGCCTCGCCACCTTCTCCACCCGTGCAGTGCTCACCATGTTCTTCATCTTGGGCAGGCGCCTCTGCCAGCAGTTGTATATGAGCCCCAAGACGATGATGATGGCGCAGATGGAGCCGATGATCACCAGTACCACAAAGAGCTTCCCGTAGTCACTGCGCGTCTGGTTGGGGTGTGACTGGCAGCTTGTGGTGGTTGAGTAGTTCTGGATGCCAATCTGGAAGGAAGAGAGGGGTACACTAAATCCCTGCTGTCAGCTGGGGTCCTGTCCAGACTTTCCAGTGACCAATACAGGGTCACTGCTATGGACAGAGGAACTAAAAACCAGGGCTGGAGAGTCAGGATGTGCACTGTCTTACATGACCAGAAGGCACATAACTGAATATAACACCGTCTTCCATGAGAGCTGACATGCCAGCAAGTGACAGTAGACACCACCTTATCTTGCTCGCCTGCACAAGGATTACACCTGTGTGCAAGACAAGCAGGCTTTCATAGGAGAAACTGCCCAATACTAAGAGTACCCAAACCAAACTATGGACCATCGATGGATGTTGAGGTTTTGGTGGCTGTGAGACAGAATGAAACCACAATAAAGGGTTTCCATTAAAGCTCTGGTCCTAAGAGGGTGTAGTGGTCTTTCCAAAGTCTTTGAAGTGCCTGCCTGATGATCCAAAAAGCAGCCCTAGAAATAGGTCCTCAGTGGTTGTCTGCAAACACAGCTCAACATTGGTCCCAGGGACTTGGCAGGTTTCAAACAGGTTATGTATCAATTCACTGTAAGTATTATATCTGTAAGAGAATATCCTCGCTGCTCCTCCCAAGCCTTTGCTTGCGCAACGTCAGTGCAAGGAGCAGCGTTCCATTATTCATGGAGCTGCAGGCAGGTGGCGAGGCCGCTCTGGTGGGACGCTCGTTAACATGGAGTCACAGCTGCACAAAGAAGTCAAACCTTGCACTAACACAAACCCTTCGTTCTGGACAGTCCAAGCTGCTGATACTTCAGTCACACCATTTCTAGACGGCTGACTTTTCACGCTTTCTCCAGAGTAAGCCAATCAATACACCACTGAGCACTTAATTTGCTTTGTCTAACTGCACCGGTTTGTTAGGTCAGGGAAAAACCTGAGAGCAGGGAGCCCAACTCTGCTGCCAAAGGCAGCAAAATTACTCCAGCATTGTAAATAATACCCAAGCAAAATCAGGCCCTCAGTGCCTACATATCCCATAGGCCTGAAGTCAGAGGTTACAAGACTAATTTGTCCTCATCTCTTCCTCTTTCAAGATATCCAGGGTCAGAGATGAATATGTGAGGGCTGGAGGCTTTGAAATGCAGATCCTGGGATTGCAAAAGATGTGTAAATGTGTCCCAGCCAGTACAAGCGTCTCTCCCACCTCCTTCAGCAAAGCCTCCAGTCCTGAGAGCAGCCAATGCTCGTAAATCAGCTGTAGGGTGAGCAGGGCCAAGGCTGGGGCTCTGCAGCAACCACATCGCCACCAGCAATGGTGCAGAAGGGAGGAGACCAAGAATCCCAACAAAATGAATGTGGGAAAAGCAGCTCCACAACCAAGGCAGAAAAGCAGGGAGGGATAACCCGCAGTCACTCTCTTAATGGGAGCAGACATTTAAGGGCCTGGCAACTGTCAGAGAGAGGAGAAGGGAGTTTGCCAAGCGTCTGACTCATCTGTTTGCCGGCTGTGGGTTCAGCCCTCGGTTAGACCGAGATATGCTCCCAGTTTCCAAGTCGCTTCTTTTAATCGTATAGTGAGTCTTAACAAATGGGTGCAGGCAGACAGGCTCTTACCTCAGCTAAGCTCCTCTTAACGTCTCCCAGCGCCATGAGCACATCCTTTGTAGGGATGACGCCTGTGAAGAAGGAGAGGGAGAGATCAGTGCTGCTCTCAGCTCAGTCAGATGTACTCATCAGTCTGAAATCCCCACCAGGATGGAGACAGGGGAATACACATTTTTGCTCATTGGTACTTGATGTTAGGAGGCTGAAAGAATGGAAGGACCATAGCCAAGAGTACCTCCAAATATTCTTTAGAAGAGTAAAATATTCAGGCACAAACTGATACCAGAGGCACCTCTGTTCACCAAAGCCTTTTCATTGGCACATGGTCCAACCTGAGGACTTGAGAGATGCAATGATTTAAGGCATCAATACAGCAAATAGCACTTAAATGTTAGCTTTATTTTCCTATCAATGTAGGGCATTTTCGAACACTGGTAGGGTTTTTTCACGTAGGCCATAATGTCAGCATCAGAGGCCTCCATCACTAAGCAGTCAGCAGTACAGGAAAAGCACCCCACTACCAGAAGGGGATTAAAGAGATGGTAAAATGTCCCAGCCCAGCCCACCTTTCACTGTCACCTTTTGTTTCTTTGGGGATGCAGGGGAGGCACCATCAGGACTGGTCCAGTTCAGACAAGACTTAAGAAGTGTTAAGTTATGAACTAGGACTATAACTATTGCAGTTGCCAGCCTGTGGAGAAGGATATACAAGCACTGGGATAAAGCTGACAAATGGTCGAGTGAAGGCAACCCAGGGAGTAAGCAAAGCAGGAGGCAAAGCGCAGCACATGAAGCTTCATGCAAACGGTGAGGGATGAGCCAGAAGGCAGATGTGAAGAAAAAGTCTCACGTCCTCGATCTCCCTCCATTCCCAAGTGCAGTTTACACTGGGAACTGGTGGGATTGAAAGGGATTGGAAAGCAAAAAGCTCCTTCCAAGGTAGCTGAGCACCTCCGTTTGAGATAAATACACCTTGAATACACCTACCCTTCATGGGAAGGCTTCTTCTCCCACCACTTACCCTGTTCCCCCGCCAGCGTCATTAGCAAGTGCTTGTCGTTCTCATTGGGTTTGCTCAGAGAGATCAGCCAGCGGTCCTGCAGTCCATCCGCCTGCCTGGAGAAGGCATCCTCCACCAGTGCCAAGAGCTGGGGACCCCTCTCCAGCCGAAACTCCTCCTGCCACAGGGAAAGGGACCTTGGTGAGGGCACAGAGTGTACAGGGCCGCTGTAGTGCTGCAGGGCTGGCACGGCTGTGACCCCTGGCCCAGGCATGCCCAAAAGCCAGCAATGCTAAATCTGGTGCAACGCTCCCCCACGCATCCCCATGCCCCAGGCTGGACCCACACACATCTCCTGACACACCAACCCTCCTCCATTTCTGGTGTAAGGCAGGCGGGAAGCAGCCGGCACCGGGTCAGCGGGTGCCACTCAGCCTGACACGCTCCAGCCATCCCTCAGCAGCTCCTCTGCCGCTTCCTCCCTCCTCTGTTTCTATTCTTATCTCCCGTTGCCAAGCCAACCTGAAGGCCACACAGATGATTAATAAAATGGAGAGCTCTCGTTGCCATGGCGATATGAAGCGCTCAGGGCAGGCACAGGCCTGTGCTGAAAATGGCCTAATTGGAAAAGACACCGATGACTGGGGCCTGAATCACAAGGGCCTGCCAGTGCCTCCTCTCATCAGGTTATGGGTTTCGGCACGGGGCTCAGCGCCAGCCTGCAGCTCTGGTTTTGCGGGGTGCGGAGGAAGGGGGGAGTAGCTGAGTCCAAAAGCAGGAGAAGGACAGAGGTGAGATGCTTCTAATGATGGGGAAAGCAGAGGTTGCAGAACACTGATAAATTCTCCACGGTGGGGAAAAGGGAGCTGTGAAGGAGACCTGAACGTGAGCCGAGACGGAGGTCATCTCCTGACATGTAGCCAGGCACCACCATCAGATCAGATCCTGTGGTCCTCACTTGGGCAAAATTCCCAGGAATACTGAGTGGGAGATGTGCCCAGAGAGAGACTGAATTGCCCAGAGTCCATTAGGAAGATAAATGGGCTGCCAGCTTAACCCAGCAACACAGACATCATCCCTGCACCAGGTAAAAGCCTGGCGCTATGAAGACCATTAAAGCTCAAGGTGTGACACTGGAAGGGGCTGAGCATCCTCCATGTCCCTCAACTTTTCAGTGGAGCTCAGTATGGCACCAGATTAGGGCATCGAAACATAGGAAAAACATGATGAAACCTCATTTGCACCAATTTAAACTCAGCACTTGCAATGCAGGTTCTCCCTCCCTGGAAATCCAAACACCACAGGGCTCAGCTACAGAAACCAGAAAAGAAAAGGGACAGGCAAAGGGTAGGTGAGTTGCCCAAACTGAGGAAATTATCACATGTAGGAAACAAACTGCATCAGCATCAGCGGAAAGGAGAAGAGCTTGCGTCCAGCTTCAGCCATGCAAAGTGGTAATGAGAGGCAGGGAACAAGGAGATGCTCATGTTAAATATGTATGTTGACAAGTGACTAAGGGGGAGGACAGCACAAATCATTCGCTGGGAAATATGTTTTGAAACATGAAATGAAGTAGAAAAACAGCTCAGTCTTGCCTATCCCAGGGCACTGCCTTCTTTCAGCAGGGCAGCACCGAGGACTCAACAGCAAAGACAATTTGGTCAAGAGACACCTGCACATCTGCTTTTCAGCTCTTGCCCTTCCGGTGTTTGAACACCACAAGAGCGAGCGATCACAGGAAGGAAGCTACTCCGTATTACAAAATCAAGCAGCATTTAAACTGCACAGAGATGGGGGAAAGAGCAATGGGGACCCTGGAGTACCAAAATCAGCAGGAGCCGCAGCAAGGCAGAGTGCAGACACACGAGGCCAGAACACGGTTCCCTGATGAAACATTTTGGTCTCGGGCTGTCAGGCTCATAATTTCTTAGAATTATGAAATGTGCCTTGACTCCAGGCCTTTCACAACCGGTTTTAGAGTGCCTGACAAAAAGCCCAGCAGAGGTGAACGAGCCCTGATACTGGGGATCCACAAGGGGCTCTGGGCTCGTGAATTAACTGCTGCTTTATGGGGATGGATGGACAGGCACTGGACTAGCAAAGCGTGGCTGGTTAACGGACCCAGGTAACACACATGGTAACAGGGTGGGGAGAAGAGGCCCTTATGGAAGATTTAAAGCAGCTGCTTGACACCGAACCATTCACACTGCAAATAAGGATTCCCTATTGCTCTGAGCCATCAGAGGAACGTTATATATATCCTGGAAGGAGAGGAAGGAAAAGGCAGAGAGGGACGGAGACTCACACCTCGATCCTGTCACGTTTCCTACCAGTAAGAGGTGCAGTGTTAAAAGCTCTCACATCTCATAACAATCCAGGTACTGACTGGCACAGCCAGGAGTTAGTCAAAACCCAATGTGGGACTGACATGTGTTAGACTTTGCGCAAAATCCTCTCTTGCCACCCCCTCTTTCCCCATTTGGGGAACAGGAATATTTCTGTCCTCCTTCTCTCCGCAGCCTCTACAGGGACTTTGCGATTTTAGTGCTTTTAAAATGTTCTGTAGTGTGAGGAGACAGCAGGAGCTGTGCCTGCCTCCACATCTCCCAGCATTATTCCCCCATGCCATCAAATCTCTTTGGACTGACTTACACAGTCAATGTTATCCGACATATTCAGGATGATGTAGTTTTTCCCCGCAAGGTTGCTCCAGTCTTTGCAGATCACCTGGAGAGACAAGATATAAAGACAGCTGGGTTTGGGTAGTGGA